TGGAAGAGGTCAGAAGGCCTTCATGTCTGACCCCCTGCTATTGCAGGACACTAAGTTATGCTATCCCATTCAAATGACTGCCCCATGCTTTTTGAATGTCTCCAGCAAGGGAGAGCCCACAACTTCCCCAGGTAATATATTTCATGGTTGTACTGCTCTAGATGGTGAGGAAATTCTTCCTGGTGTCTGGTCTAAATCTGGTTTCTTTTAACTTAAGTCCATTATTCTGTGTCTTGCACTCTGGAATGGATGAGAAGAGATCTTGTTCTTCCTCTCTGTGACAGCCTTTCAATACTTGTAGAGTGCTATCATATCACCCCTCAGTCTTTTCTTATTGAGGCCGAACATGCCTAGTTCTCTCAGTCTTTCCTCATAGGACTTTGTCTCTGAATAATTCTCATTGTCTCATCTCTATATCCTTTCTAGCTTTCCTGCATCTTTTTAAAATGTGGGTGCCCAGAACTGGGCACAGTACTCCAGGTGAGGTCTTAGTTATTGGAAGTAGTATCTCATATGTTTTGGAAGTGATGCTTCTGTTAATGCAGCCCAAAATAATATTTTGCCTTTTTGCAGCTGCATCACACTGTTGGCTCATATTTAGCTTTTGTTCTACAACCCCAAAATTCTTCTCATTTGAGGTATTGTTGAGCCAAGTGTTCTCCATCTTATAGTGTTGCATTTGGTTTCTTGTTCCTAAGTGGAGGACTTGGCTTTTGTCCCTATTGCATTTCATTCTGTTGTTCTCAGCCCAGTGTTCTAACCTACTGAGATCATCTTGTATCTTATATCTGTCTTCCAGGGCATTGGCTATTCCCCCCAGCTTTGTGCCATCTGCTAATTTAATTATCTTTCCTTGTACTTCCTCATCTAAATCATTAATAAAAATGTGGAAGAGACAGAACCCCTTGGCACCCCACTTGCACCTCTCCCCAGTTTGAAAATGTGTCATTGATGAGTACTCTCTGAGTCCAATTTTGCAGCCAATTGTGAGTCTACGTAACAGTTGTACTATCTAGCCTGCTTTTTGCAAGTTTGGCAATCAGGATGTCATGGGGCACTTTGTCAAAGGCTTTGCTAGATTATGTCTATCATTTAATTATGTTCTGCTTGTTTATGACCAGTATAATCTCCAAAACTCTGTGGAATTGAGTTGCAGGCATTTCCTTTGTAGGAATTTCTCATTTTGTGTGTATTGTATGACAGCTACACTGTTGAAACATAGAAGTTAACAATAGGCTGTCAAACCGAGGCACCACACAGAGACAGCAAACTTAGAAACACAGGATTCATGTTATCATTTAAGAAAACATGTGCAGGCTAATAATAAAGATAATCCAACCCAAGCGTTTGATACAGACAAATATTTATGCTGCTGTTTCTCATTAAAAGGTTTGTGTGGGAGTACCCTCTGTGACATTCAGAAATACTATCACTGGAAAAGAATGCTAACATAGGCCAGTGTGCATAGAATTGATCTTTTGTTTAATTTTGAATCAACACAGCTTATAATTAAGCTTTAAGAATAAATTATAGTGATGGACTTCTACTGCTATTAAGAGCTAAATATTGTTATTGTTATTTAATATTGTTAAACAGCAGCAGCAACCAACTGGATATTTCAGAGACCCCTGTTAACTGCCTGTTGACTTTATAGTGATCAGATCATGTTATCCTTTTCTTTAACGCTTTCTGTGTGGTTAAGTAAAGTTGCTGTATGCATAAATTGAAAACATGGAATTAAACTTGAGTTATGAGGTTCTTGCCCTGCATCAACATTGTTTTCTTAAATAAAAATATACCAGAGTAGTGAGAGCTTGGTAGTTATATTTAATTTTTGTTTTTTCAATCAAACTAATTTATATTTGTACAATTTTTCTCCACATCCCATGCTGGCCTTACCCTTCTCTGCATTTGTTGTCTTTAAAATGTTAAAAAGCAGAGGATTCAATAAAGCACAAAAGGTTTATTCAGTTTTTCATATAGTAACAACATTCATCTTTGGAAAGACTTCGTCGATTGTGCCTGGTATCTATAGCAATAAATGTAAAGGAATGGAAACTAGTGTTCCCATATCTCAGAGAACACTAAACTATTGTCCTATTACATATCAGTGATGGCCTAATGGTTGCAAATAATTTTCTGAACAGAAATGGTATCCATGTATCATGTGACTTCTTTGGCCAATTCAACAGCAGCTTTTATAAATCCTTTTCATTATGTCAGGGTTATAGGGAGAGTGTGAGGATATATGGAAATTATTGCTCCAGTTCTAAAACTTTCCAGTACATAGAAAGTTATGGAGGCTTGTGAGCCATTGTACCCCCAGGTGCCCAACAGACAATTTGGCACACTGGGGGTAGGGTGCTCCTCCTTCCCTTTTGGTCCCCCACATGGGTATCCCAGGGGACCCTGCTGGAGCACCAAGGATTCCCCCAATATCTTGCTATCATATTTTAGTGACAACAGGTCCCTGTCAGCCTTCACCCAAGCTCACATGGAGACCTCTTGAATTGGGTTGAGAGCTGTTGCCATTGTTCCTTCTTGGTGCTGCAAGAGGAACAGCAATAGCAGGGCGGAGCAGACATTTCTCTTACCCTTTCTTTGCCCCTTACCATGGCAGTCTTGCTTGGCTCAGCTGATTCTCAACTACCCCGTGCCCTCATACGGCTGCTGCAACACAAGGCAGGGAAAAAGCTTCTGACAGCCTCTCTTGGGTGCAAGTTGAGCATTTTTGGGCAGCTGTCAGCTTTGCTTGCCCAGCATGCATGTGACAAGAACAGTGAAGATTTCTTGCTGCTCACGCCAAATTTGGGCTAGATATTATCAGTATTAGGGTTCCTGCAGGACCCAAACCCAAAACCAAACCATGCATACGATATGCCCTTGGTATATTATAGGGACTGGTTTATGATGCCGGGATCCTCTGGCCCAAATCATATAGCTGCTGTAAATTCCCTAGGCTTCAGGCAAAACAGTGCATTTCACTGCAAGCCTCCACAGTGTAATATGAAGATAGCAATGCTCACCTACCACATGGGGTTAATATGTGTGAAACACTTTCAAGGGCACTGTATAAATCAGGCATATTGAATATCTTTGAGTCTAAGGGCTGAATTCTATTTTGGAGAAGACTGGGGTAAAGTGAATGCATACCTGTGGAGGATTGGACCAAAGGGGGCAGAGTGAAAAAGCCAAAATATCAGCATATTTCAGCTTAAATCCCTTACTGCCAGTAAAGAAGCTATAGAGCAGATGTTTCAGCCTTTCAGATGAGGAAATAAAACAATGCACAAACCAGGAACCCATCAATCAGTCAGTGTTTGAAAGAAAGAGAGGCCACGGAAAGGGATCATGGCCCTCTGGGGAATCCCAGAGGGCATAATAACTGGGGATTGTAGGTGGGCAAGAACTTTTATATAAATTGAAGCTCTATCATTATGACAAGAGGAGTTGGTACAGTGTTGTCTTCCATACTCCTCAGCCTAAGCATGGGGCTTTTTCAGTCTGACCGATGACATATTGGGCCAGTTCATACATCATACCAAGCCACCGTGGGTTAATCAACCCAAGGGGCTTCAAAGGATATGCCAACTGCCATTTTGAATATTGGAGCCACAGTATATGTGCACCCTGGCTTGCTTTGTTGTGTGAACCTGGGTGGCCCTGATTATACAACACTTAAGCAACTCTTGTTTAACCAACAGTACTAGGATTCACAGGACATGACAAGCTATGGAATGTGTGCACTGTGGCTTGCATATTCAAAATGGTGGCTGGCACACACTGCTGCTCATCATGGCTGAAATAAGCCACACTGAGCCTATTTGATCATGTGAACTAGGTTATTCTTTTCCCATGATAGTGAATAGTCCACCTGCAAGTCAAAGTTCTTTGTTCCAAGTGGCTTGTACAGCAGAATCTAATAGCAGTATTTTTAAGTTGACACAGAACACAAAAATAAAAGCCTTGAATGTACAATATATCTAAACCTATTATACAAAGGCACATTGCTTTGTCTTGATGGACAGATGACTTCCCTTTTTTCCATTTTGATCTACTTTTGAAAGGAAAAGCAAGCACTGGCCTCACATATTCCACACGTGAAGTCAAAGCTCATTTTATAACACACACAGATAAGAACTGGAGATTAATGGTGTGTTGTCCTCGATGACAAACTATATAAAGGTATCATTGGTGCTTGGATCTAATCAAAAGAGCCAGGTAACCAAACAGATAAGAATGTCCTGAAGTTTTAAATGCCCTCAGAGGGCTTTCTGAAAGTAAACATAGGAAGGCAGACCATCCAAATGTATGACGTTTATTTACTCTCAAGATGTAGTTCATGTAACTAATTGGGACTTAAAAGGGCAGGGTTACTGTTTGACTCCTGTTTGACCTCTAAACGACTTCCTTGCAGTGTACGTCCCACGATCTCTCATGATCTCTCTTTTTCTAGACTGTAATCCATAAACCAGTTGAACTGGAGCACTACTAGTTAAAAGAGGATCTGGTTTAAACTCAAGCATTCTGGTTTCCCAGTTGTCTGGTTGGTTTCCCTTTGGAGCGGCTTGTGTAAGTGGCTGTGCTTGCCTATGAAACCACATGATCCTTTGAAGACAGAAATATATGGTCAATCATGTATAGGGGGCATGTAGTACAAAGAAAGCGAAAGTCTTACGCAGCGCCGTGACAAAAACGCCTCCACCTGTCACAGAGTACAGCCGCTTTTTCAGCAGCAGGGAATTTCCTGGTCTCCCTAGCAACGGTTGCCGCGGGTGGGGCTACTATGACAACAAGCCGCCGCCAAGGGAAAGGTTGCGTCACATCGCTTTTCTGAGGAGTGGGGTGGGATGAGGGAATGGGAAAGACCCTCGTTGACTTTCAAAACTACAGGCCCCAACATGCCGCGCGAGCGGTCAGCCGCGGGCGGGAGGAGCAGCACCTAATGCGTCGCCGCAAAGGAGCGGGAGGCGGAGCCCAAAGGGAGTGGGGGATGGGGGTGTCGGGTCCGTCTTTCCCCAGCCGTGTCCCCTTTTCTCAGCTCGGCGCAGACGCCATGTTGCCTTGAAAGGAAGATGACAAGAGGCGGCTGCGGGAGTAGTGGCGACGGCGGCGGCGGCGGCGACGGCGGCGGGGGGCGGCGAGAAAGAGCACCGGGCAGCTGCTCGCCTTGAGGAGAAGCTCTTTCGCTCTCTCCCCTGCCTCGCTTCTTTTTTCCTCCCCGCTCGGGCTTTCCGGGGAGTCGAGGAAAGGGCGAGCAGCCCCGCCGCGTCAGCTGTGGGGGGTTTCCGTTGACCGCTCGCGGCTGCTGCGGGAGCCCCTGAAGTAGGGAGAGGAAGAGGCGGAGAGGGGACTGGCAAAAAGGAGCAGGCGGCGATGAGAGCAGAGACCTGAGCAAGACGAGGCGGACGGAGGGGGCGGCGAGCGCCACCGCTGCTGCTGCTGCTGCTAGAGACGACTGCAGTTTAAATCCCCCCTTGAGCTGCTGCTGCTGCAGTTTGAGGGGGGAGGGTGTTTTTTCCCTTCCCTTCCTCTTTTCCTGCTCGCGTCCAGCTACTGGGAGTGCGTTTTAAGGCTAAATGTTATAAAACATAAGAAGGACTGTAAGAGGACAAGAAGACCCCACCGCCGCCTCTCCTGTCTCCTCACCCCCACTGTACTTAGCGAATTGATAGGGATACGAAATACAGAACAACCCCCTCCCCAAACAACTTCGGCCCCAGAGGAAGAAGGAGGTCGCCTTACTTTTCTGCTTGAGTGCCTGTGGCTTTTTTTTAATGAGGTGACTCGGACACAGAACTATCCTCTGAATCATCTTCATCATTCATTATTGGTTTAGGCTGGAGAGGAAGACCGAAAGGAGAAGAGAAAAAAAGCTCGTACACAACCCATGTCCTTGTATATTTCTACCTGGCACCATTGGTGTTGGTTCTGCTGCTGACAAAGATCTGCTGCCATCTCTGGTTTCTCTGGCGTTTCCCCTCTGATCAAGCTTTTTTAAACTCTAGTTCCTCTTGGATTTTTTCCTCCCCAAGCTCACAATTTCCTTGCTGCAGGTCAAACTTTTGTTGGAGAAAAACAAAGCTCAGAACTCAGCAAGACACATACCAAAGATTGGTTAGCTGGAAGATCTTTCACTGGTTTTGTGCTGTATGCTCTTGGCCGGCTTTTAAATTTTCTTGTTCCGTGTTTCTGAAACCATCAGGGTAATATCAAGATGTCCAGCAGTGTTCCATCTGATATGGTAAGTTCATATTTGACTTCCTTTTCAGAAATACTGCGGAGAACTGATTTCCAGAGGTCTAGCCTTGTTAGTTGCTAGTTCCTGTTGCCGAAAAAACAACAGAGTCATGTGGCACCTTAAGGTTTAACATATTTATTATGGAATAAGCTTTCATGGACCAGAGTCCATATTTTAGAGCAAGGTAGATCTCAAAAAGAGATCCACCTTTTTTCCTTTACTGATTATCTGTTTTGTTTAATTGTCAAACTTTTACAAACATGTTGGAATTTAACATGGGCAGAAGGTTAGATGCAACATGAAACAGTAGGTTTTTTTTTTTAAATTGGTGGTTCTTTACCTGAAACTAGATAACTACGTATTGTTTTCCTTCCTTTTCCTTTTCTCCTTTTTACAACTTTATTTCAGTGGAAGGGGACTTCATATCCTTGAACTGTTCCAGAAGGCCAGAGCTTTACATTGTGTGTGTGTGTGTGTGTGTGTGGATAACAGCTCTTGTTCTGAAGAATAATGAGCACTTCTTATGCCAATCTCTTTTTGAGCTGATTTTGGGTATCCCATATTACTAAGGTGTGATAGCAGTGATGTATCTGGACATATTTTGAAATCTGGACAAAAGGAGGTGAAGCATAGACTTGAGAGAGTACCACCTACAGGTATTCTTAAGAACAAATAAATTTGGATCTATAAACTATTCCTAAATTCAGTGATGTAGTTAACTTGATTCCTCTTTAAAGAAAGACATTCTTGTGTATAAATCTATTGCAATGTGTTAGCTACTTATGCCATGCCATTTAAAGATAAATGGCTATTATGCTTTTGAGTGCTAATGTGCTGTTCATGCTTTGTATACGTGTCTGAGCATTCAGGGTCATGCTTGGCATAAGATATTTTTTTTTGGCTGTGCATAACAGGAAAACAGTAATTTATGACAAAGGCACTACTGTAATAATGGTTATCCGCAGCTTAACATCTTACTCAAAGTGACTTGTCAAAACGTCATTCCCCTTCACCCAAACAATGGAAAGCATACTGTTTGTTCCCAGTCTAAATCCTTTTTGTCAGATTCTGTTCATAGAAGTTGTGGCATCTTATCAGTTCTGTGGGTAGTCTTATTTCACACCTACTCAGATTTGAAATATTGACATTATTATGATTTAAATACCTTTACTTTATCTGCTCTGCATCTTTAGGAAAGGATATCCAAATATATTGGTGATCAGTTTGGCCACTGGAATGAAAACTGTAAATTTGTGGCACTTCATGGTTCTCAATATAAACATACATTTTTGCTTGTGATGAAAGTTTTGTTGGGCACCTAGAACTTTATTTGTAACTGCAAAGATATACCCTTCTAGTTCAAATTATCAATATCTTTACTGCAGAAATAAATGAAAACTAGAATATTGAGAGCCAGTGTAGTGGCTAGAGTGCTGGACCGGGGCTTGTGATGTTCAGGCTCTGTCCCTACTCAGCCTTGAAGCTCACTGGGTGTCTGATGAGGAGGAAAACCTTGTAAACCACCTTGCAAGAGAAAGAAAGACATGGCATAAATGTAATGTGATGCTGATGCTGATGATAGAAGATCAGATGCCACAACTGATGCTTAATTCATGCTTCTAAGAGTGATATTTTTTAAGGTTGTACATTTCCACAATTTCATTCTGTGATTGGTTGGAATACAGTTCATAGTCTTTCTTCGTCTGCAGATGAAAGAAATACCATAATCAGAGTTTTGTCACATTCAGTGAGCCACTTTTATAAAATTGCACTGCTTCTATTCTATGATAAATGCTTGCTGAGCTACTGGATTGGATCCATATTTACTCTTACTTTGAGTACTTCTACTGAAATTGATGAGATTTAAAATGACTTAATCTGGATTCAACAACAGCAGTTAAATCGGTTTTGAAATTTGTGCAGTTTTTCAGGCCTGCACAAGGGAATGAAACTGAATTTTATTGCCTGATGGAAAGCAAGGTTTTCCATTTCTAACCATTTCTAGCAGCTCATTTAGTAGAAAGAAAGTAGCCTATGGAATTATCCAAATTCATAGTAGTATGACCGTGCAAATGCACAACACGCATGGGAATTCCCATTATGGCATGGTGTTGGAGGTTATTTTAGGGACACTGAATAAATTCTGTGAAACAAGCAGGTGGCTAATGTATGATTTTTTCAGCCTACAACATTGTAACAACTGAAAATAAGTGAAATACATCTCTAAGTTGAAAACATTGTTCTTTTTATTACATCTGACTTCCTTTGTCAATTGCAATTGTTCAACTAGCTAAGGAATTTAACATATTAATTCTAAAACAATTAACATAATTCTGTCATTTCCATTTAATTAACATATAATTGTCAACTAAATTCCAGACATCAGGTTACAGACATATCAAGTAGCAAAGGTTGTTGCCAAAGACAGAACTAAAAAATGTTGGTGAATTAATTCCTTATTTGAATGAACCTTACTGTGGTGTCTGTACATATCTACTAAAAGGCAGCTGCACGGACCCCAATGTAGGCATCATGCCAGCCACTAAAGAAAGTTGTCAACACATTTATTTATTTATAACATTTGTATGCTGCCTATTGTGCCACAGCACCTCTGGGCAGCTCACAATCATAAAATAAACCACACTAAAACTAATAATAGCAATTAAAAACTACAATATTACTAAAATACAGATAAAAATACAAAATGAAGGTTTAGTGGTATCAACTATTAAAATGCTTTTTAAAAAGGAAGGTCTTCACCTGGCACAAAAAAAAAAAAAAAAGGATAAAAAAGGCACCTGGCAAATATCCTTGGGAGAGCATTCCAAATATGGGGAGCAGCTGCAGAAGAGACCCTCTTTCTAGCAGCCAATCCTCTCACTTCCCTAGGGGTGGCACCCAGGAGGGCCGCCTGCAGAGATCTCAAAGGCTGGGAAGGCCTATATGGGTGTAGGCGCTCATCGAGGTAACCAGGGCCTAAGCCATTTAGGGCTTTATATGGCAACACAAGCACCTTGAATTGGGCCTGGGCCACAATTGATAACCAGTGCAGTTCTTTCACTATAGGTGTTATGTGGGCCACTCTAGGAGCTCCGGGCGCTCACCAAGCAGCCCTATTCTGTACCAGTTGTAATTGTCGGACCATCTTCAAGGGCAGCCCCACATGGAACACATTGCAGTTATCTATTTTGGATGCTACCATTGCATGGGTAACTGTTTTCAGGTTCTGTTTGTCCAGGTAGGGATGAAATTGGTATATCTGCTGCAGGTGGAGGAAAGCACCGGTGAACACAGAGTTCACCTGGTATTCCAGGGACAAATTCAAGTCCAGGAGTACCCACAGACAGTGGACCCTGTCCCTGAGGGGGAGTGTGACCCCATCTAGGACAGGGAGATGCCCCTCCAACCTGTCAGATGACCCCCATACTAGCAGCACCTCCATCATGTCAGGACTGAGACTCAGTTTATTGATCCTCATCCAGTCCATTACTGAGCTCAGGTCCCGGTTCAGGATGGTGACAGCCTTACCTGGATGAGATGTAAAAGGAGAGGTAGAGCTGAGTATCACCAGCATATTTCTGAGACTTCACCCCAAATCTCCACATGACCTCTCCCAGAGGCTTCATATAGATGCTAAAGAGCATTGGAGACGGCACCTAGCCCCGTGGCACCCCATGGTGTAACTACCATGGTGCAGAGCCTGTCCCCCAGCACTACCTTCTGAACCTGCCATCAAGGTAGGAGCAGAACCACTGCAAAGTGGTTCCCCCAACCCCAACCCCAGCCAACCTGTCCAGAAGGACACCATGGCTGAAATAAGGAAGGGAGGGTGCATGCTTTGTAGTAGCTATGTAGCAAGAAAATCTGTTATATTTGAGCTGCCAAACAGAAAAGTTTAGTGGCAGATGAGCTATAATTTTAACACATTTTTGAGGTAGTGCCTAATGAGTGCAGAAGTATTTTCAACTGTGAAACTTAAGATTTGGTGTTGAACTAACTATAATGTAAGAGTTTTAAAACACAGACAGAATAAGCCATGCTAGGTTGGTTGTTTGCAGAACCAATTGTGTGCCCAATGGAAGATTGAACTGACCATGAGTAGTTCTCTCTCCTTCCCCCTCAGTTCTCTACCTAGTAGCTTAGTGTCCTTTGTGGTAGAACCTGTCTGTCTGCTTTTCTTTATTCTGATTGTTTTCCTTTTAGATTGCTAAGTTTTGGCCCCAGAAATTTACGCAAATATGTTTGTTCATAATTTTTGAATAAGTTTTTGCCAGCCTTTCACAAGAGTCAGGAGAGCTCTTGTGGCTGTCTGCTATGTGCAGTCTTGCCTGGTCAATTTCTGTGTCCATATTAGCTGTCAAAGTGAGTAGGCAACAGATTGATAAGGTTTACTGACTGCATAGAGATATAGGTTAATTAGTGTACAATTGTTGCCTAGCTATCAGCTGAAACATATTCATAAAGCAGAAAAAGTGGAAAAGAATGTACAATAAAAGATGTGGTTGGGGAAGAATAATATCTTCCCATTGTCAGTTTAATCATCTTGCTGTTCTTTCCAGTTTCCATGTACAAGTATGTTACCTACGCCTGCTGTTCCATTTGACTGCTGAAATATACAAGAAAATTAACCCCAAAAGACAATTTGGGGTCTTACATATCAGACAGGCATTAGGGGACACTTATGAAAGACCAGTGAAAAAAATAAAAATGTTTGAACACAGTTACATGATTTTCTAGGGCCAGAATTAAGAAAAAGTGGCAAATAAGTGATGGTCATTCCGAAGTATCATTTGGGCATCAGTGGAGGGGCTGTCACTGGTGGTGGTATGAGTAAGATTTCAAAGAGTGATGGGGGGTTTTCTTTTTCTTGTGGAGCAGATCACTAGTGGATCCCTGCAACCCATGATGAAAATATTCTTTTAGGATCAGATGCCACAGCAACCTATCATGGCTTCAACAACTCCTAGAACAAGCCAGACATTGTCAGGGTAGCTTGGTGCTGA